AATACAATCAGAACACCATAATGTCTATGAAAACTCCTTGTAAACTCCAAAGTAATTTTGTGAGGTGATTGCCAGTTTAAAATACTCTGTCATCACTTTCTTCTCTACCATCAGGAATCCGAGAGGATGGTGCTATTTCATGAAAATTAGTTTTGAGCTCTTCAAAACCTGCCACATAAAACAAAGACAGCTCCAATTTCTTTAATCAGAATGATGATCAGCTTCTAAAAATGAATCCATCTTCCCTGAGATCATGCAGAATTAAAATCTGATTTCAAAGAAGGGAAAATTGGAGTGTGTTTGGGTTTGATTCAGAGCCATTGAGCTCTGCTGCTTTCTTACCACTTTCCCACGCTCCCTGATTCGGGGAGTCCTTTGGGGGCAATCTGGAGATGACTTGGTCCCATTGCTTGTCTTTAAGAACCAGGGTTGGACTGAATGCCACCTCCAAGACTTTGTTTGAAAATCAGCTAATTGGGAACTGGAGAGAGTGAGCTGGTGGGCAGGGTTGAGGGTTTCCTAGGGCAGGTCACCACTGACAAGGATTGGTGTCCTGGAGTGGAAACCACCTGGAAGCCCCAGCTTTGGTGAGATGGAGCAGCCTACTGGGGCCTGGGCCTGGTCGTTCTGCTAAGGGGCCTGGAGCTGGGTCGGGAGGACAACTCGCAGGCTGGGTCATCCACATTGGGGACTCCAAGGAGGCAGGCTGGAGTCCCCTAGCCTGTTTCCTTCTCTTCTATGCCTCTGCTGTTTGTTTCCTAATCAGTCCCTTTTGTGGTGTATCAGACCAGCGGCTGCTTATTCCTAGCACACATTATTGTTTTCTGCGGGTCCCCCACCTTCTCAGGTGCAGTGATTTCAGCATCAGATGAGGGCGGTGAGTGTTTGAGATGCAGAACTGTGTCTCATTTCAGTGCCTAATAGAAGATGGAGAATGAGCCCTGGCACCTTTCTGCTCAGTAAATTCATAATTACAGGCTTCCTTGTCTCGCCTCTCACCAACCAGAGAACTGCAGATTGGCTTGTGGGTCTGTGCGCGGGTACAGTAAGGAGGGGCGTGGCAGACACACTTTCTAGGGGGCTTGGCAGTTTCTGATACAGGGACTATGAAAGTCCTCTCTGAGGGTTGGTGTTGAGCCCTGACCTGCACCTGCTCCAGCTCCGGAACGAGGGCTCCTGAACCTGCTGTGATTTGGTTGTCGGCAGCGATGTTCTGAGAGCCATCAGAGCAGATGGCACCCAAAGGGCTGGCTCCTCCAAAGGCCAGGGAGCAGATGCCAAAGTGGGTTCAGATAAAGTTAGGAGAGAAGCCATGGGTCAGGGGAGGAGCACTGAACGGGGGTCCAGGGACCTGAGCCCACCCCACCTTGACCTCACTATGCGACCTCTGGCAAGTCATTCATTTCTCTGGATCTCAACTCCCTTGTCTCTAAGATCAGGGATTGGGGATTATTAAACTGGATTATCTTTTTCAGATCAAAAACTAGATTTCTCTCTGATGCTTGGATCTGTGCAGGCAATTTGATATGAACCATCCGGACTCCTCAGCATTCTCATTGAGATGGTACATAGGTACCATTTCACTATCATAATCCTAATCCCTTTACTGTTATTTAAATCTCATCAACAACAATGATCATTTATTCAGCACTTATGTATGCCAGGTGTTTCCCATCATTGGTGCTTTTAGAGGTAAACAGCAGGACTCACCTGATTGGTGTTACCTGCCAGGTTCTGCCCTGTGGGTCCCAGGAGCTTTCCTTTTCACCTACAGAGCCGCCAGGGAGGTACTCCTGGCTGATGTCCTGGATTTCTGTGTTTGGGGATTTATCTGAAATAAAACAGGCTTCCAAGTACTCAGTATGCTGGGCTCTGGAATTGTGTGTTGCTAAAAAGACGCAGTGATACAAACCTGGGTTTGAATTCAAACTCTGTCACTTATTAGCCATATGCCTTGGCAGAGCTGAAGGTTCCTCATCTGAGAAGCAGGTAAAATAGTCGACCCCAGTGAAGAGCTGTGATGCTAAAGAAGGTAAGGTAGTCCCTGTGCCAGCATTTGCATGGAGCCTGGGGTGTGGCAAATGATCCACAGGCAGTGACATTCTTCCTTGCTTCCAGCCTCTCTTTCTGCCAGTCCTCGGCCTTCCACTGTGTGCCAGGTGCTGGTCTGGGGCTATGGGCACACTCATGAGCAAAGCAGGCCCTCCTTGCCTCAGGGAGCTCACAGCTCTCAGCTCCAAACTCGGTTCCTTCTGCAGAGACTACATGGAGAGGAGTGTGGAGTCTCCTTTCGGGGGCCTTTGCTCTTTCCTTTAACTGTCTTTACTTAATACCATGCATCAGCCTCAGCCTTGCAGGGATTCCCTACAAAGCTCGTAGCTCTCTCTTTCTAGCCCTGTTTCTATCTGATTCTCAGGAATCGGGTTCTCTAGACAGACCCTTCCTGGAATACATCCTGTTTGATATGCTATGCTGGCCCCTCCCCAGGGAGGCCTTTCCCTTCTAGCTCTGCCAAGTCCTTTCCAAGTTCATGGCTCAGCCCAAATGTCATCCTCTCCCCAAGGCCTCCTACAGGCTTCTCCATGCTCCCTCACTCCATGTTAGAAGTCACTTTTTTTAAAAATATATTTTATTGATTTTGTACAGAGAGGAAGGGAGAGAGATAGAAAGCCAGAAACATCGATGAGAGAGAGTCATCGATCAGCTGCCTCTTGCACACCCCCTACTGGGGATATGCCCGCAACCAAGGTACATGCCCTTGACCGGAATCGAACCCGGGTCCCTTCAGTCCCCAAGCCGACGTTCTATCCATTGAGCCAAACCGGTCTCGGCAGAAGTCACTTTCTTCATGCAAACAGCCGAAGCACTCTGTGGTCTATCACTTAGCTCTTCACCGTCTGAGTAATTCCGGTGCCTGGTCCAGCCTCAGTCATCCTTGGATTCCATGGTGTCTGGCATGTCTCACAGTGCCCTGAGCGAGCATTTTCCACATGGAGAGGATGAATGAAGGTCCTCAACATGCAGGATTGTTGTCAGTTGTGGGGTACACCATCTGCCAGAGTCCTCCTCTGATACTTCTCTGGGAAGACTTATGTTTTCATTGGAAGTTGAACTAACAATGTCAAACCTGCCTTCTTTCTTCTCTCGGTTTTCATCTAACCTCATGGTCTTTCTTTGCTGGAGGGGTTTCTGTTGCTCAACAGTTACCTCTTTCTGTGACTTTATTTTTGACATGTTTGGGTGTGAACAACACAAAGGCCGCAAGCTGAGACACCCCCTACATACGATGTAGGCCATTCCTGCCCTGATTTCTCCCCAACTATAAGCAATATGAAGCTGTCCTCTGGGCTCACATGCAGAAAGTATCTCAGGTAGGCATCAACGAGAGCAGTAGGATGGACAGCTGTTTTGTCCCAGGAGGAGTTATTTATTTAAATCCAGCACGACCACTTAAAGTGTCTGTTCACTCGCTTCAGTGAAAACCTTTCAAAGGAGGGCCCACTGTGGGAGGCAGCCAAGATTTGCCTCATTAAAAGGACATTGTCTCATTTTTGATTCTTATATTTCCATTAGGACATGATCTCACTCATCTATGGGAAATGGTGAACAACATAGACTGATGAGCAAGAACAGACCCAGAAATAAGGAACCATGGGTCAGACTGTTGGACCTCAGAGGAAGGGTGGGGATAAAAGGGAGAGATCAACCATAGGACTTATGTGCAAACATATGAGCCTAACCAGTAGTCAAGGACAATAGGGGGTGGGGGCATGAGTAGGGGTGGTGGTGGATTGGAATGGATGGTTGAGGACAAATATGTGATACCTTAATCAATAAAGAAATAATTTTTTTAAAAAAAGGATATTGAGGCTCAGAGCCGGACAATGTATCCAGAGGACCTGGCTATTGCCACAATGAGAAGAGTTTGGGCTTATGCACCATCCATCCAGCAGGTTGTGGGGGAGGGACACAGCAGCAGCTTCCCTTGCAGCAGGTGCAGACCTGGAGGGCCAGGTGGCAATGGGCAGTGTTGTTAAAACTATGGTGCTGTGTATAAACAGGAACCGGGGACATCCCCATCTGTGTCTGGCTAACCTGAGCTGGTTTGGTAGTGAAGATGAGAATCTGCCATGGACTTGTACAGCCAGGTTTGGATCTACCTCTACCACTTTTAGCTTCACCAGTTACGTAACTTTCCCAAGCTATAAAGTGGGAATAATGATATCACTGACTTCAGAGGTCTCCAAGTCAGGGTCCTGGCAAGAAATAGTACATGCAAACTCACTTGCTCATAAAAAGATTAATACAGGGGTTCTTGGCAAAAGTGTGGATCTTAAGAGGCAGGACAGTGGTAGGGGTGGAAATAGTGAGGTCCCTATAGGATAAACAGGGGTGGGCAGCAGGTGGTTCTCTGAACTTGGAGATAGAGAGTCTGGGTTGAGAGACTGACCAGGGCACTGTGTGTGACCTGTGGACAAGGGTCACAGCAAGTGCCTGCAGCCCACCTCTGCTCCTCCTATCCTCTCCCCCTTCCTCCAATCTTCTGCCCTGCTCCCCGCTGGCTGCACCTCGCCAGCTCAAGGGCAAGGAGACCATGGATGCAGATCCATGCAGATCAGCCTTCCGGATGCAGAGAACTGGGGAGAGAGGATCTGGAGGGACAGCACCAAGAGTTTTGTTAAGTTGAAGTTGAAGATTAAGATTTGACTCTGGAAGGTGCTGGACAGTTATGGTACAGTCAGACACTTGGCAGTCAATGGCTGTTCATCATTATCATCACTATTATCATTGTTAGCATCACTATTATTTTTACTATCATTGTTGCTGAAATGCCATTCTGTGGCTGTACTATAGCCATAGCAACCATGTCCTTTGGCCTCTAGCTTCTTCCAGTACAGTTCTCTATTTCTGCTTGAGCAGGATCCCCCTGGCAAGGTATGGGGTGAAACTGAGTTGCTGTCATTGTCATCCAGCATCACACTTTTTCTTTTTCTTCACAGGGACCCTCCATTCTTGAGTCCTGGCCCGTCCAGGAGGACGCTTCTGCAGTGCTACTGTGCCACGAGGACTCGCGTCTGAAATGAGAGCCATGCCCTGGAACTGGACTTGCCTGCTGTCCCATCTCCTGATGGTGGGGATGGGCTCCTCCACTCTGCTGCCCCGGCAGCCACCACCACCATCGCAGAAGCGGTCTTTTGTCACATTTCGCGGGGAGCCAGCGGAGGGCTTCAACCACCTGGTGGTGGACAGGAGGACAGGGCACATTTACCTGGGGGCCGTCAACCGGATCTACAAGCTCTCCAGTGACCTGAAGGTCTTGGTGACCCACCAGACAGGGCCGGACGAGGACAACCCCAATTGTTACCCACCCCGCATCGTCCAGACGTGCAATGAGCCGCTGACCACCACCAACAATGTCAACAAGATGCTCCTGATAGACTACAAGGAGAACAGGCTGATTGCGTGTGGGAGCCTGTATCAGGGCATCTGCAAGCTTCTGCGGCTGGAGGACCTCTTCAAGCTGGGGGAGCCCTTCCACAAGAAGGAGCACTACCTGTCGGGGGTCAACGAGAGCGGCTCTGTCTTCGGAGTGATCGTCTCCTACAGCAACCTGGACGACAAGCTCTTCATTGCCACGGCGGTAGACGGGAAGCCAGAGTATTTCCCCACCATCTCCAGCCGGAAGTTGACGAAGAACTCAGAGGCAGACGGCATGTTTGCGTATGTCTTCCACGATGAATTTGTGGCCTCAATGATTAAGATCCCTTCGGACACCTTCACTGTCATCCCCGACTTTGACATCTACTACGTCTATGGCTTCAGCAGCGGCAACTTTGTCTACTTTTTGACCCTTCAGCCTGAGATGGTGTCTCCCCCAGGCTCCACCACAAAGGAGCAGGTTTATACATCCAAGCTCGTGAGGCTCTGCAAAGAGGACACCGCCTTCAACTCCTACGTGGAGGTGCCCATTGGCTGTGAGCGCAGCGGCGTGGAGTACCGCTTGCTTCAGGCTGCCTACCTGTCCAAAGCTGGGGCCGTGCTCGCCCAGACCCTGGGAGTCCATCCGGAAGACGACCTCCTCTTCACTGTCTTCTCCAAGGGCCAGAAAAGGAAAATGAAATCCCTGGATGAGTCGGCCCTCTGCATCTTCATCTTGAAGCAGATCAATGACCGCATTAAGGAGCGGCTTCAGTCCTGCTACCGGGGCGAGGGCACACTGGACCTGGCCTGGCTCAAGGTGAAGGACATCCCCTGCAGCAGTGCGGTGAGTCAAGGGAGGGCCCGTGAGCTGGGATGATGAGGTGTGGAGGGAGGACCCTAGCCTATGGCCTTTGAGGGGTCTGAATCACCCATGCCATTTAGCAGATGGGACAGGTATATTCCATCTCTGCTTCTCACTGGACTCAGGTCCTCACCAGCTCAAACATGCTGTGACTATGCAACTGAGCTTATAAAAGTCAGAGCTGAAGTTAAGATATAGATTTCCTATCAGGGCACTTTTCTCTACTAATATTGGCTTACTGGTTGTTGGAGGGAGTGCTAGGGATAGGCGGGGATTATGTTACTTACATGTCACATGCACCAGTCATGGTTGAAGGCCAGTTATCATGTACTGTAGGACAAGGTGTGTGCCCACTTTCTTACCAACCACACCAGTAAATTACTTTCCTGGGAGGTGAGAATAAACCATTACTGGGAGCAATTGTGCCAGTCATTCTGCATTTGAAATAGATGAGGAATTTCAGGATAGCTATGGTCTCAGTCCCTGACACATCTTTAGAAAATGAACAATGAGAGCAGAGTAGGGTTGAGAGTCCAATGAACATACTCTAGAGGAAAAGCAGGACTTGCTGAGAAAACTGTTATTTGTTAAGCATCTTCAATGCCCACGGCTCCACAAAAGAGACTACAAAGACAGGGGGAAGCTCAGGAAGAGTTCCCAGTACTGGGAGGACTGGAGGAAGGGGGAAGGGAGAGTTGGTACAGGAGGCCGTCCCGGAGACCATACGTACCTCAGGGTGTTGCCTTGCTATGTGATACAGGAGTAACTGATGACACAGCCTCACCCACTTGTGACCCAAAACTTGTGACTTTCTGTGGCTCCACTTCTGTTCACCTTTCCAATGGTCCAATGTTTTTTTCTAAATCACTCTTCAACTGAGTTAGATGGCTCAGCTATTGACATCACCTATGCCCCATATCACCCTCCTTTCCATTTTTCTCTTTATGTTCCCATTAAAATGTTATGAACCTAGTTGGAGAAAATTTATCTTGTAATCTTAATGAGGAAAGGAAAGTTCACCAATCAGGTGGAAGTGTGCATTTGCATGCATGTAATTCTGATGTTTAGTCCAACCATAGTGGAATTCTATATTAGGAAATGCATTTGGGTTTATGTAAAAGTTAAGTTTCCCTTCATACCACTTGCCAAGCTGATCTCAGAGGGCACTGGCATCCACTCCACCCAGCATGCTTTTCTAGTCATTGGAATTTGGGGTAGGGTAAAGGAGAGGGAGGAGAAAGGAAGAACTCTGCAAAATTTGGTCTTTGGTGCCCTAACATTTAGGCTTAGACTGCTTTCTAGTGGTGAATTTTCCAGGTGCCTGAACTGAAGCTAAAAGATGCCATTCCTCTTTGGAGGTCCTGAAATTCAGGACACCCCTAGTGTCACAAAGGAAATAGGAGAGGTACTATGGGCCAAAGAAGGCAGCCACAATTGACAGTCATTGACAGGCCAGATAATCGAGGGGACCCTTCTGTATCTGCTGAGCCCTAGTAAGTGACATATCCTTTAGAGTCTCTGGTTTGGGTCAGTAGCTAACCCATTCAGGAGAGTCTATAAAACAGGCTTATGAATTTGGGGGGCCATGGACTGCTCCCAAATGAAGGCAATGAATGACAGTCCAGATGCTGGGCTGTGCATAAGTTTTTTACACACTCAAACATAGTTCCCGGGAGCTGCATTAAAATGTTGGCATGGACACAGTGCTTAGAGATCCTATAGTCTAAGCTTTCATTCCAAGGCCCAACCAAGTGAATGAATTATCCAAGGTCATACATCTTGCGGGAGAATGGCAGACCCTTGAGGATAATCCTCTTTCCTCTCTTAGCACTACATTTGCATATATCCATATGGACACATATGTACAAACATGTGTGTGCACACATACAATAAATACCTTCATGGGCATGCACACATATGTCCTCAGTTAGAAAATGGTACGTTTATGCTGTGTGCTTACTAAACTAGTTCTTTTGAGGTCAGAGGGGTTGGCTTTTTTTTTTTCCTGTAGACGTTCGTTTCTAAAGAACTTGCTTAAACTGTCATTTGGGAGTAAAGCCAGCTGCAGGGGTCAGCCTGGCTGCCCATGGGCAGGAGTGTGCCCCACCCTTGCTCCCTGCCACAATATAAAAAGTCAAGTTCATCATGGATGTCTGCAGAGCTGCAGGTCCCAATACTGCGTGGTGGCCTTAGAGAGAACAGAGGGAAACAGCTTTGCAAGACAGGCTAATGCCAGGACTGGAGTAATGGAGCCAGATAACAGGCTTTTGATTTTTCTTTGGCTTTAATGAGCCCTTTCAAGTTAGAGGCAAGTTCAGGGCTGAGAGCAGAAAGGAGGAGGCCAGAAACTGCGCACAGGGCTGGGCTGTCTCCCCAGCCAGTCTGAAAGGTCACGTCGGCTTTTAACGCGCAGTATCAGTTTCTTTTGATTCGCCCGATCCTCAGGTTACTCTGCTCTGGAGCTCTCAGCTGCAATTCATCTGGCCTCAGCTCAGACCACACATGCTTCACGTGCCACCAGCCAGGCCAGGCTCCCCAGCATCCCACTGAGGAACCCTTGTGGGCACACTGTTGCCAACACAGCCTTCCCTCCACCCATCCCCTTAGCTGTTAGGTCCCTCCTCTTTTCCCCTCCTGCTTGGAGGCAGGGATCAGGACTCTGGAGTTTCTTTGTCTTCCAGTCCAAGATTCCCTTGAGACTTGCAAAATGGAACCCATCTCAGATGGCCTCCTCCTGTGGCGGGTCAGCAATAGAAAAATGATCCAGGAGGTTGGCTTTTAGGACCTGTGTTTTGCAGGGTTGGGGTCTTCTATGGGTTTTATCATAGTCACAACTCAGAGCTTGCAAAGGGGGTGTGAGTAGTGGTTTGTTTCCTCCCTTTCCTCCCCCCCATAACCCCGTGCTCCTATTGTTAGCGTTCCCTAAGCTAGAATGTGTACCCTGGGATGTTCTTCAGGCTCTTCTGATTCCTCCCATTTCCTGGGAACCACACTCCTTTCCCTGAAATCATGCCTCCAAAACTCAGAGAAGGGAGCAGTGTAAGCCCTGGGCCCCCTCAGCCCCTCACTAGGTCTCCACTGCCCCTTGATTATGTTCAGGGATTATGGGTGGAGTTGGGAGAGAATACCTGTGTGACTTGGCTTGCCCTGCCATGGGGCATTCTTGGAGCTGTGTGGTGGGCCACAGCCAGGGGACCAGGTGGGGGAGAAGCCATGGACTGTGAGGCTGGAGCCTCATTCTGCAGGTGCCCAGAGAGTTCCCTGTTTTTATTGTAGGTGAATCAGCCCACCTCAGAGTTAAGGGCAGGGCCTCCTCGTGGGACTGTCACTTTGAATGTCAATGCCTGCTGCCAAAGCAAATCCCTGAGTGGGCCTTGGGAGTAGAGGCTGGGAAAGCATCCCCGGGTTTCTTGGTCCTGTAGGGGACCATTGGGATGAAGAGCCCATACATAGCCTGTAGCTTCTGTCAAGTGCAGGACCCTAAACAGGCCAAGTTGACAGCTCCCAGAGCTTTCTTGGGACCTCTGACATACCTGATCTGGAATTGGCAGCCAGGCTGGGCTAAGGTTATTGCTTACTACGTGGCTGGGCATCCCAGAGTCCCCCAGGCATGGCTATCGGTTCCTCTTCGACCTTTTTCCAGCCTTCTGGGATAACCTCACAGAAAACCAGCCTCAGACTCCAAATGGATGAATGAATGGATGAGGGGATGAAGCATTTATTAGGCCTTTGGCCATGTACTCATAGCTGGTGGATGCCAAGAATCATGAAATGATATTGGTGTCCAGGAGTCCAAGACTGAGATGCACCCAAGCATCTTATGGTTTATGTGATGGGAACAATGACTGTGGTCCTGGGAGTGAGTGATTGTCATGCAGTTGAGGCTGGATGATGCAGTAATCAGCTTCTTAATCTTTCCTTCAAGACTTGAACTTAAGAGTGACCTTCCAACCGAAAATGTAGGACTTTGGGGGCAGAAACTCTTATCCAGAATCTTTGCCTCCCACCTGCCAAGCCCCGTAAGTGGGAGCAGAGAGTGGCAGCCTGATAATCCCACTGCAGGGGTGTGCATGGTGCTTGATCTTTACAAAGGAGTTCATCACCTCCTTCATCCTCTCAGCAGTGCTCAGGATGGTAGAAAGGGAAACCTTCCTCTCCAGTTGAGGAAATGGAGCAACAGAGAAGTCACGTCCTTTGGTCTCAGTCATGTAATTGGTAGACTAGACCCTGCTGTCCATCCTAATTTTCAGCCGCTGCTTTTCCCACCGCTGTTTCTCTGTGGTGTGCTAGTGGCACCCAGAGTGGGACAGTTCACTGTCTGGGCATCGCAGGACATTTACAACCCTGGGCACTAGAGCATTAAGTGCCTATGGGCCTCCCCACACTGCAAGAACTAGAAGAGCCTCTCACCTTTCTAACGGTGGGAAACCACTGTGAGGCCGAGTGCCTGTTTGAGTTTGGAGGTTGCCTGTCAGCCCAGCCTGTCCCACCAGGTGCACAGAGGCACAGGGACTGAGCTCTTTATGCTGATCCCCAAGCTTCAGTTCATGCCTGACAGACAGTGAGGAAGTAGTGAAGGAGAAGAACTCCATTCATGGGTTCTCTGACTTTTAAATTTATTGTTTCTCAGGCACAGTGGCCCTGGGAGGGGACAAGGTCATTCTCCTGGACTCAGGCTGACCCCTGGCCCAGCCTGGACGGTCACTCAGGTTCGTCTGGTGCCTGGAATCCTGAAACCCTATGAGTGTGAGCATCCGGAATGGGCAGGCGGTCATCCCAGGCTCCGGGTGCTGGTCTCTGCCAGTCTGCTTGGGGTGTTTTCTTTCCCTGTCAGCAGGAAGGGCAGCTCTGAGTAGATGGGTGTATCCTGTTGTTTATGGCTCTGAGCAAGGTTTCTCTTTCTGCCCAGCGACAGGTCTGTTACAGACCAGGAACTTCCCCTCCTGCTGCCCCAGGCCTTTCTCTCTCCACTGCATCGGCCA